TAAAGTCCTCCTGCTCTTACCGCTCGATACATTCCAATAAGCAGACCGGCTGTTGAAATGGCCCCAAACCCGAAGCTCGTCCAGTTCAGCTCAGCCTGGTTGATTCTCTAGAACATTCCAGAGATCTGTGGATTGGGGAACGGCTTGGTTCTGCTGGAGGACCAGTTTATGGGGGGGAACCAGTCCTAGGAACCTGGAGCTTTGTGCTCGCTGTGGCGTGGCTGTCGTCTTTTCTATTGCACTTTGTACCAGTGTGTGGTGTCCTGTCAGCGGTTAGCAGCACTTTGTCGCTCTCTGTCTAAAGGGATGATGGTTGAATGCCGCTCTGGTTTATTCTTTGATTTTTACAGGAAGTGGCAAACTTTAGAAGCTTTATCCAAATGTTGGGCAGATGTAGCAAAGGGGACAAGCAGAAAGTGTCTGATTGGCCGAGCCCGTTTATCATGCGCCACCTAAAGCCCAGCGGCTGAAGTCGTTTGTACATTTATTTAACTCACTGTGAACGGGGGAAATCCTGCAGCCGATGAACCTCCTCCATCCCACTTCCTTTATTTTTTATTAACCTAGAACGCCATAGGAAGTACGTCAGAGCAATACTTTAAGCCAGTTAGGGGCTACCAGGAGGAAATCCTAGCCTGCCACTCTCTCCGGTTCTTCAGACGGCGGTGGTGGTTTTGGACCCTGAGTGGGTCCATTATAGAGAGCCAGGGTACCTCTGATACTGCAGGGAGCATTCACATCATATTCACTGGGAGAAGATGCGACTGGGTCTCTGTAGGTCGCTTCTGAGCAGCTGTTGTCAAGGCAAAATGCTATGCTACAAAAATACTAATGTACTCAATACCTGTACTTGTATGTTCCTGAATAAATTGGTTAAACATCTCTCCCTTGTGTTTTTTTTTTTCTTTTAATGAGCTTATTTACATAAGCAGTCAATATATAACCTTGAAGTTTCAGCTCTATAATGATTTTTAAATTGCTAATGGGAGTGGGGAATTTCTATTTAATTTTTTTCCCCAAAACTACTTGAATTCAATCAGATGCAAACAGGTTTTCTACAGCAGACGTTTTAAATTTAAAAGAAAATCTAAATTAACTATGTAATGAAGCAGCAAATTCTGTCTAAAACTATACATGTATAGAACTAAAGAATAAAATTACTCCTAATGAAAATCATATCTAAACTGGTCGTGTCAACAGGGGAAGCTTGCTTTAGGTTTCAGGTCAATTAAAAATCACATTCCATTTTTATTCACTTTGCATCAAAATTTGGCTCAACTGCCATTAATGTTGCGATTATTGTCCTTTTAAAATTTATTTTAGTTCTGATTTTTCCATAAACGGACTCAAAAGCAGTGTTAAATTGCCTTTCGTGAAAGTATAAAGTTTTCTTGTTTTTTTCTGGAAATGGGCTTTGTATTAAATATCTTTTTGTGGTTTTGGTCAGGAATATGTAATTAAGAGGCTAAAAAGATGTTATTTTTGTCAAATTTTAACTTATAAAGTTTAAGATAAAATAAACCTGTGTCTGCCTTAACTTTTACAGAACAGAAACCTAAACTGTAAGAGCTAGAATACAGGTTTGCTTCTAGTTCTGAGTATCTAAATTGTCTACAAACTATAGTGTGCTCTTTTAGTAGATCTGTTAAAGTATTTTGTATAGTCAATGTTCTTAAAACAACCTAAATATAAGCAGCTGTTTCATTACCTTTAAGAAAATTTCTACAAAAAAAACCAAAGCATTTTTAGACATCACTTTTTAGTACAAAGGTTAGATTTTTTTTTTTGATCAAATGTGTTGAAACCCGTTCATTAACTTTAATTTAAATAAATCCAGTTTAGTTGGACCTAAAAGAAGGGTTTTTAGTTTCTGAAACAAAAGCAGACATTTTTCCTGTTCTAAAATAGCTGAGCTTGCATACAAAAGTGTTTATTTGTTGAGGCAAAGAAAAGAACAGTGCAAGAGCATTTTTTTTTTTTTTTGTAGTAACTTTTCTTAAAATTCCTTTATTTGAGCAGGTAATCTAAAAAAACAAAATTAGAAATAAGATAATAGTTTTATTTTTTAAGCATGAATCTTATCTTCAGATGATCTTACCTACGTGCTTAAACCAAGGTAATCTGTTTAAAGAAAGTCACATTTTTAAAGTTTAGCTTTTCAGTACAGGGGAGCGGGCACTGGGCCCGTTGGCTTCAGTCTAGGACCACCTATGGATCATGTGGTTAGATCCATTGATCTCTATTCACTGGATTGCTGACATTGCTGACAAACATCTGATTTACTGCTATAACACAGACTGTTTTTTGTATGACTGGGTAAAAATTAATGCATTAATGTTTTATTAGATGTTATGCACTTAAAATATAATGGATTTATATTCTTTCTTATTGCCATTTCTTATAATCATCTAATTCCAGTGGTAAATTTGGCTTAAACTATAGAAAAAAATATATATATTTTTGTAGTTTATGTTTCAGAGTGAGACACGACAGGGGAAAGGACCAACTTAACAAGGGCACTGGGCCCCTTTGGGCCCCCTGTCTAGGACTGTCTGTCTTTAACCCTTTATATAGCAAGTTACTGTTATTGATCACTTGCATACAAAGTTACAAAGTTCTAGAATCACAAGATCTATACTCAACCATTTAGCAAAGATACTGCTACATGGCTGTACATCTTATTTTGGCATTTGACCAATAGATTACCTATTTTAAATTAAGTTGGGGAAAAAGGTTAACAGGTCAAGAAAAAAGGTAAAAAGCTAATTGAAAAGTTAAAAACTGGAAGAAAAAAAAAGTTGGAGTCAGCGAGGGAGCTGGCTCCCTGGGAGTGGAGAAAGCACCCCAGTCCTTTGCTCCCCATCCCCGAAATCCTCCCTCTGCCTGCTCCTTCACACTGCCACACATGTAGGTTTTTGGGGAGGGGGTCGTTACTGGAGGGCCCCACCCTAATTTTATTTTGCATTTTAGACATTTCCATCTACATCATTTTCACAACACACATCTATGTAGGGCATTTTCTGGGGGGCTGGGGTCAAGGGCACCCGGGGGGGGGCTTATTTTATGGGCCTCACCACGGTCGGCTCCACCCATCCCCTCTTCTATTTAGACATTAAGAGTTCTGGGTTGTCGAATGGGCCTATCTCCCGGAAGGGGGGGTGGACTGTGCTGGACACCCCCTTTTGGTACTCCCAGTTTTAATTACATCTGAGAGCAACACACAACACCACGGCTGCCACCCGGAGTCTGGGGCCTGGAGGAAGAGCGAGCCGCCTGGTCTGTCGTCTTGGCGGGGGGGTGGCTGCGGGGCCTCGGTGGCCTGCTGGTGGCAGGGCTGTTACTTCTGCTCTCCCCAAAGAAGGTTGGAAGGAGGGGTGTGTAGTGGCTGGTTGAAATAGTTTTGGCGGGGTTCTGGTTGGGTGGCCTGCGCGGGATGAATGGATGGGTGAAGCAGGAATGAGATGGGCTGGTGTGGCGGTGTTGCCGCTCCCCTCCCCCCCATCCGGATTTTAGGTTCACTTGTTGGGTCATCCGATAATCCCGGGACCAACCACCGGTGCCGCCGGGTCCTTGGTCCTGGTATTATTGGATGTGAGTGTTATGTGCTAATGTGTGTCCGCGATTTCTCTTTTTTTTCTTCTGTGGTGCGAGAGGGGGCACTAGGGTGGGAAGGCGTGATTGAGACAGTTTATTTATTTATTTATTTTTTCTTTATCTCCCAGGTTGGGGTCTGAACTGCCCCCTCTCCCAAACACATCTCAAGTCTCCGCAAAGTGCGGAGCCCATTCCCCCCGTTCTCCCTCCGCTGGCCGGCGTTGGGGCTCGCCGGCGCACTGGTGGAGCTCGAGGTTTGGGGGTGGATGCCCGGGTGGCTGCTGGCTCATTCCTGGCGGCCTTGCTGGGGCTCCTGTCTGGGGGTCGGGTGCCCCTGGAGCTTCGGATCCCTGGGGCCCAAGGCCGGATTCACTTCAGGGTGGCTGGCTGCCGGCGGAGCCTGCAGACTCGTCCCCGCGGCTCCCCGGGGCGCCGGCATTGCGTTGGATTGGGGATTTCCTCTGGCCTGTCTCTCCTCCTCCCTTGGTGGGGGTCTGATTTCCTCAGCTGGCCCCTCCTTGGTGCCTTCGCTCTGATTGTACTCTGATTGTGGTGATTGTTTTTAACATATCAGTGTGAAAATAATCCAGATTAGGACTTGTATGGATGTAAACAGCACGTTTTAGAGTAGACTAAAAGGACTAAAAGGATTATTTTCCTCCAAGAAGGGTTTCTATGAAAATTAAAAGGCAGGCAATGGCGTACTGGATTACCCATAATTCTAAGTCATATTATAAAAAATAAAATACTCAAATATATCGTTCTTTTAAGATCTTTATTGCGGTTTGAAACATATTATATGAGTGTATTTTTTACCAACCGTTTAATGAATTATACACAGTTATAAAGATAGTAATTAAAAGTACCACTGTCTGCCTTGCTATTGGTGTCGTGTTTAAACGGCTCACCATCCTGTTGAAATTTGCCATGTGTTGGGGTATAAATACGGTCCGGTCATTCAAACTAGTATCAGGTGGGTTTAAGCAAAATTGTTCGCACCATTGCATCTGCAAAGAGACGTCCTAGTCTACATTTGCATAGGGGACCCCCCAGGTGTCAGTGATGGCGCCCCAAAGCAACTGCAGTCTCTGCTCACCAGTATTTACGCCATTGGGCCCCCCCTATTAAAATTCTCTGGCTACGCCTCTGCTCATAGGTTCCACCAGAGGGCGCTGTAGTGCTTTTAAACACATGAGTGTCAGAGTGAGGTTTACATTGGAAATGAAATAAGACAGTAAACATCAGATATATAGTAATAAAAAGCGATCAGAGAGCCTGTGGTGATTATTTTAAACGTATCAGTGAGAAAATAATCCAGATTAGGATTATTATGGATGTAAACAGCGCGTTTTAGAGTAGGCAACTCGATTTAAAGCTCCAAGAAGGGGTTTCTATGAAAGTTAAACATCCCCGCTGCGATGATGGAGGTTTCTCTTTATAGTATTACAGGGAGCATCAGTGACCGGGCTTCAATTACTCTACTCAGGGGGGCGGTGCACTTCTCCAGACCCCTCCCGCCCTCTAAAGCCGCTCCGCAAACAGCGACCAGCAGCAGTCCGGAGCCAGCTGCCTCCCATGCCCGCAGCCTCTCCGGGACACAGCGCCACCGATCAAGCGTGTTGAGGCTGGAAGTGGGAGGAAGCATGCTGGAAAACGGCAGGAAGGTTTATAAGGAGGGTCTGCTGGAGAAGCGGAGCGACGGGCTGCTGCAGCTCTGGAAGAAGAAGCGCTGCGTCCTGACGGAGGACGCCGTGCTGCTGCTGCCGCCCAAGCAGCACGATCACCCGCAGCAGCAGCACGGAGGGGAGCCGGGCAGAGTCAAGGAGCTCCACTTCGCCAACATGAAGACGGTGGACTGCGTGGAGCGGAAGGGAAAGTACGTGTACTTCACCGTGGTCATGGCGGAGGGGAAGGAGATCGACTTCAGGTGCCCGCAGGACGAGGGCTGGAACGCGGAGATCACCCTGCAGATGGTCCAGTACAAGAACCGGCAGGCGATCCTGGCTGTCAAGTCCACCCGGCAGAAGCAGCAGCTGCTGGTGGTGCAGATGCCCGGACACAAGAGCGTCCGGAGCGCGCCGAGCGTGGCGTGACGCGCGGGGCGCCCCGCAGACACCCGCGCGCCTTCAGCGGTAAGATAAGACACGGATTTAATGATGAACTTCTGAAATAAAACATGAAACAATCAGCTGACATATAGTGAATAAGTTGAGTTATATTCAGAAACATGAGCTCCTGATGTTTTGCTGCATAGGACAACTTCCAAATTTACACCATGAGGTGGTGCAGCTTTTTCTGCTCCCCTCTCAGATTTCCACACACGTGGATCACTGTGGGAGCAGCTTCCAGCGCCACATCCATGTGTGAACCCATTCAAACATAAACCTTATTATAGGAACCACATCTGTTCCTGCAGAGGTGGTTTGTGTCTTTACCAGGGGCGACCTAAAAGTGGACGGGGCCCTGAGCAGGAGTTAATTTGTGGTGCCCACTGGCTTATTGTTTGGAGATGTGGCATTTAAGGAAAGTTGTAGAAGCATTAATAGTGATCTAAAGGTGATTTCCCTGAAGATACCAGCTTGCTTTACTCGTGAAATATGCAGCATTTAATATTTTTAATAAAATACAAGATTATTTGGCTTTTATTTTAGGGCTGGGCGATGAGGCTTGAAAATAAAATCTCTGATGTACTTATTGTTTATCCTATTAAATTAATTTCATTTATTTTTCAAATTTATGTTTCATAAGAAAAAAATGCAAAACATTCTTTTTTATTCATCAAATCATTGAGGTGACCTTAATTTAAAGGGCAACCAAAATCAAGCTGTGAAAACTGCTTTAAAAGCATTAAATGTAAACTAGTGCTACAGTATCACTCAGTGCACTAGTTTATAGGGTTTAAGGAGATATCTGAGAACAAAAAGTGTTGAACTGAGTGTCTCTGAGGTATGAAAGCTCAAAGAGTGGATTGATGGGGAAAAAACTTGATTTTTTTTTTTCTTTCCCTCAAAAATTAAAACTTTATCACAAAATAAAATGAAATTAAACAGGCTCATCACTAAACTTTTTGGCAGTCACACAGATTATATTAAAACAGAATAACTATGTTCTTTCATGTAATGCTTCTCACCTCTTAATGACATAAAACCTAAAAGTTACTCCAGCCTCCATGCACTACAATCACAACAAAGCTTTTGCCAATCAGCGGCTCCTCCCTCCCCCTACACATTCGCTGTGCAGCCCCCACGCTGCTGAATGGAGTCTCCTTGATGGAGGTTTAGGGAATAACTAAACGCTCCGCCTTTGAGATGGCCTTCTCTCCACCTGCTGGAACAGGAAGCTGTCGTCACTTTGGTAGCGTCCCTATCAGCGACTGTCGCCATGATACACTGGCTGCTGGAGAACGAACGCTTAAATGTATAGTGGAGGATGTTCTTTTTCCGGGTGGATCATCAAAATAAGTGGTCCTCCTAATTGTCAATCATTCTGGTGAAATGTTTACACAAGGCGCTCTCGTCCCCAATTTCACTTGCCAGTGGTGAAGGAAGAAGGAAGAGACAGAAGGATGACTTTAAATGGAAAACTTACTTGCATGATTTTAATGCAGAGTTAAAGCACATGCTTTTGGACTTTGTGGAACTTGTCTGCTTTCCTAAAAAGCTCTGTAGGCAGGTCCGCTGTCCGCCTCATTCTCATCAGGGCTCTGCAACCAGAGTTTACAGCTGATCTGAGAGGCAGAGAGCAGAGAAACAGGACGAACCTTTAGATCCTTTAACAAGAATCATGAAAATTATGAATTCAGAAGAAAAAAACAAAACATATAAAAATGGTCCCATGTTCATCCTATATTTCCTGTCTTAATTAAAAATTATTTACTCTCCATAGCAGCATCTGTTAATTATTTATTTTTTTAGGTTTTTTTTGGCACTAGTGGCTCTCTTTTTCGACAGTAGAGTGACAAGAAAGGGCGTATGAAAGAGGGGGAGAGACATGTGGCAAAGGATTCGAACTCGGGTCAGCCGCGTCGCTAACCGCTGCTACACCTGCTCGCCCCGCGTCTGTAAATTTTAATCGAAATGTAGAAGTTGTACAGACTTTGACGATGTTTTAAAAGAGCTGTTTCTATCCTATTCAATACAGCTGTTTTTAACATTGTGATAAGTTGTTAAAACATTTGCAATTCTAACAAAATGATTTATTTAGACTATGTGAAATAATATTAGTGTATAAAGTTTTTATTTACTTGTGCGCAACGCATGCGCGGAAGTTACGTCCCGTCCTCCATGCTAACAATAATTTGGTGCTGCCTGAGTGGGAAACGGATCTTTACGCGCCGTAAAAAGCCTTTTTAAGTAATAAACGTAAGTATTTGGTTTCAGATGGGACGTAATTTGGCCAACGCTTCACGGGTAAAATAAAAGTAAAAACTAGATTTTGCGGGAAAAAAAAAATAACGACAAAACTAACTGAAATTTTGATAGAAGAAAGTGCTTCATTTTTGTTTGTGTATTTATCAAAATGCATTAAAGGAATAGTACACCCAAAACATGATTAGCCTTCATTTTCTACTCACCCCCATGCTGAACAACACTCTGGAGTACTTTTTTGATATCTCAAATGCATCTGGAGATCTGGGAGGCTTCTTGCTGTCTGCTGACATTCAAATAATGGAGGTCTATGGCGCTCGAGGCAGAAAGGTCCATAAAAGTCCACAAAAACGTGTCAATATTCCTCCATACTGCTCGTCCAATGTATTCCAAGTTTCCTGAGTGGGTAGCATCCAGAATTTACTCGAAACAAAGTCATTTAGAATGTTTTTAGAGCATAAACAGTAGTGTATAGGATTTCCTGAAAGCGCGCACATGCGCGTTCATGACGCTACGGAAGCCGGCAGACCAAACCAGATGAAAGTGCGCATTCAGCGTCTGCTCTGCCGATAATGCAAGCGTAGAAGAAGAAATGTGCTGTTTACCTGTGCAAAGAAAGAAACAACGAAAGAAAAATGTCTGAGGACTTCAGTGTTGAGGAAGAGCATGAGTTCTTTGCCGAGCTGAATGCGCTGGTTTGGTCTGCCGGCTTCCGTAGCGTCGTGAACGTGCAGGCGCGCGCTTTCAGGAAATCCTATACACTACTGTTTATGCTCTAAAAACATTCTAAATGACTTCGTTTCGAGTAAATTCTGGATGCTACCCACTCAGGACACTTGGAATACATTGGACAAGCAGTATGGAGGAATATTGAAACGTTTTTGTGGACTTTTATGGACCTTTCTGTCTCGGGCGCCATAGACCTCCATTATTTGAATGTCAGCAGACAGCAAGAAGCCTCCCAGATCTCCAGATGCATTTGAGATATCAAAAAAGTACTCCAGAGTGTTGTTCAGCATGGGGGTGAGTAGAAAATGAAGGCTAATCATGTTTTGGGTGTACTATTCCTTTAATATCGGGTCCTGTTACCGGCTGCTGTTTTCGCCTTTTTTTTGCTGTACTGCATCACTCCAGCAGGTGGCAGTAAAGCAGTCAGGTCATTTGTGTTCCTTTTTTATCCATCCATCCATCCATCCATCCATCCATCCATCCATCCATCCATCTTCTCCCTCCTATTCCTTGTCAGGGTCGCGGTGGGGCCGGAGCCTATCTCCAGTCAGTGTGCGAGAGGCGGGGTACATCCTGGACAAGGCAACACAGAGACACACAACCATGCATACACACATATTCACACCTAAGGACAACTTAACCTAACAGTCATGTGTTTGGACTGTGGGAGGAAGTTGGAGTACCCAGAGAGAACCCATGCACAGGGAGAACATGCAAACACCATGCAGAAACAGTGTTAAAAATCATTAAAAGTCATTTAATTATTATTTTAAAAATAAAAATTCATTAAATGTGATTATCATGGCACTTAAAATGCTTTATTTAAAAAAAAATACTATTGTAAAAACAATCTCGTCAGATATGATCGTAAAATCGGAAAAGAAGCTTGAGTCAGAGAAAAGGCTAGAGAATGGGAGAAAATGCTAATTTTGGACTGGAAAACGAGGAATTAGGGACATGGCTGCAGCATATTGATGGTAAAGATGACAGAGGATTTTGTTTTATATGTATATATAATTACAATTATTTTTTAAGAGCATTAAACCAGGAATCAAACTTAGAACCTTCTGTAAGTCGCATTTAAAAATAAAATTATAACTAAAACTAATGAAAACTAAGCACTTAACTAAGTTTTAGTTAAGTATAATTATAATTATAACAGTGTAATTAGATTTTTTTGGCGAACATCACAAAGGATGATTGCGTTTTTAGCTGTTGCCATGCCGACCAATACCCATGTCACCACTTTAAAGTCACAGTTGACCCTGCTATGATGTATTAATCCCATGAAACCAAGAGAGGAGGGAACCTTTGGGCCCCAGCATGACGGGCTAAAGATCAGCTGATCTGTCAGATCGGAAACATGAAAGGTTAGATGTTCAATAATCACGGATGATCTTTCAAAACATACAGGAGCTTTTATTGAACCCCTTCAGGGCTGAAACTGTTTCCTATTTTCACTGTAACCTTCTGCACAACCTCAGTCAGATTGTTTCATTTGTGGTCAATAAGTGTATGGATTTTGTAATAATGGTTAAATGCTCTATAAAACTGCATGATTTTACATTTTCTCTGTAAACTGTTTGCATCTTCAGGTGGATTTGACTCTCAGCCGTGGAAGAATATAAACCCGGGCTTCATCTCCCCCTGCTGCCGCTTCACCGAGCTCTCGTTTTATGTCGTGGTCTCCACACACCAGCCCCCCCACCCACCCACCCACCTCTTTTATTAATACAGTGACTTGCTTCACAAAAGACTGATGGACTAAAAGCATGTGAGAAAACACCTGTATTCTACCGTGCAATGGATTTGTCCCTTATTTATTAGATGTGTGTGTGTATATATCTATTTTTTATAAAAATGTTCTGTCTTTGAATGTCAAAGGTGGGATGTGCTGGAGTGGAACAGGAAGCATTTGGTCGACGTGGAAACGTCTAACAAACCGGAACCTTAAAGGAATAGTACACCCAAAACATGATTAGCCTTCATTTTCTACTCACCTCCATGCTGAACAACACTCTGGAGTACTTTTTTGATATCTCAAATGCATCTGGAGATCTGGGAGACTTCTTGCTGTCTGCTGACATTCAAATAATGGAGGTCTATGGCGCCCGAGACAGAAAGGTCCACAAAAGTCCACAAAAACTTGTCAATATTCCTCCATACTGCTCGTCCAATGTAATCCAAGTGTCCTGAGTGGGTAGCATCCAGAATTTACTCGAAACGAAGTCATTTAGAACGTTTTAGAGCCTAAACAGTAGTGTATAGGATTTCCTAATAGCGCCCCCATGCGCGCTCACGATTCTACGGAAGCCGGCAGACCAAACCAGCGCATTCAGCTCGGCAAAGAACTCATGCTCTTCCTCAACACTGAAGTCCTCAGACATTTTTCTTTCGTTGTTTCTTTCTTTGCACAGGTAAACAGCACATTTCTTCTTCTACGCTTGCATTATCGGCAGACCAGACGCTGAATGCGCACTTCCTTCCGGTTTGGTCTGCCGGCTTCCGTAGAATCGTGAGCGCGCATGGGGGCGCTATTAGGAAATCCTATACACTACTGTTTATGCTCTAAAAACATTCTAAATTACTTCGTTTCGAGTAAATTCTGGATGCTACCCACTCAGGACACTTGGATTACATTGGACGAGCAGTATGGAGGAATATTGACACGTTTTTGTGGACTTTTATGGACCTTTCTGTCTCGGGCGCCATGGACCTCCATTATTTGAATGTCAGCAGACAGCAAGAAGCCTCCCAGATCTCCAGATGCATTTGAGATATCAAAAAAGTACTCCAGAGTGTTGTTCAGCATGGAGGTGAGTAGAAAATGAAGGCTAATCATGTTTTGGGTGTACTATTCCTTTAAGGGGAAGGTTTCTGTAGACGGCTTAAACATTTCTCTACTCCTGCTTTTATTTTCTAACAGAGCCAAAGACTCATTTTATACAGTTCTGTTTCTGTGCAGTGTTTCCTCCCACTACACTAAACATGTATAAATGGAGAACATGAACAATTGGTTTTATATGCTTGATATCTCAGTGTTTCCATCATGTGCTTTAGTTGTTTTTTCCCTCAGTTCTATTTTTGCTGCATTTGTAAATAGAAGGAAACTTGTTTAGAACTCATTCTGGCTTATTAACAGTGAAAGAAACTTATTGTTTGAAAAAAACTGAGCTGCTTCAGAGACATCTTACTGGAAACATAATATATTAGGTTGGATCTTAGTGAAAAAGCTACACTGGAGATGTCACAACTTATAAAATCGGTGCTAAATCATGAGGCTTATTGTGCTTCTGAAAGGATTTCCAGCTACAGTTATTATTTTTATTTTTTGGTGACAAGACAGGCAGGTTTGAATACTAAGAAAGCATGAAGGAAATTTGCTTTGTCAGCTTTTGATGCGTTTGATTTAGTCAGAGAAGTTGGATTTTCATCTTTGTAAATCAGAGGTTTCCATGTAGTTTAAGGTCCAATATAGAAAATGTCCCTTTTTTTTTTTTTTTTAGAATTTAAACGCATTAACTAGACAGATAACTGTTTCCTTTGGATTATTGGAGATAGATAATATAACATAACATACTGTTTTTTTCTTTAATTTGGATCTAAAACAAAGTAAACATATTTTCACCTCTTCACTTTATTAAACTTATTATAGTTTTAGTTTTTCACTAAAAGACTTTCAGGTACAAAAAGTCCTTTCTATCCAAAAGGATGCAGATTTTATTCTTATTTTAAAACCCAATTGTTTAGGACAATTTTCCTACTTATGTACTCCTAGTATCATGACTATAATTCTAGTATTATTATTTTTTTCTTATGAGTACCTAAGCCAGGGGTCTGTGACTATCTGCAGCGTCTACAATGGCTCCTAATAGTGGCTGAAAATGATATATTTTTTTAAACAATATTTAATGGCATTTTCCCAATAGAAACCCCTTAAAATAACTAAAAACAGGTTTTTTAGATCTATTTTTCTTGTCATCAAGTTGGAAATTGTGTATTTTTTTGCTTAAAAGCAAAAAATACATATGTTGGTTATTTAAAATGGCAACAGATTTCCTATAGCAGAAAATTAACAATAATAGTAAGTTGAGTTCTATTAAAAGGTTATGTTATATTGCTGGCTGGAATTGGGGCAAAATGGCTGTTTGGTTGCAGGCCCCTGTCCTAGTCCAAACATGGATCAGAACCAGAATTTATTTAAATTTGCTGCATTACCAAATTTTTTTTTAAGTTTTTCGGTAGGGACAGACAAAAATGGACATGGACAAACTGAACAAAACAGCAGTCTCATGTTTGCGTCACGGTGCAATAGCAACAGCTAATTCGCAGCAAAACATGATGGCCAGTACAGGGGCTTAAAATATTTACTGATAGAAAAATGGAAGTAGAAAACAACAAGAAATGATGAGGCATAGATCTGAAGTGGGAATGAGAATTGGCGATTAGCAAATATAGAAAAAAGTAAAGTTGAAACGTCTTTGGGCGCAGAACGTAGCAGTTTAGCAAGCTAAGCTAACGTACTCCTAGCTTGCATGGTTAGCTTACCAACTGTTTTTTTATTTTTTTGAGATCAGTCTAATAAAGGTTTTCTGGTATGGGATATTTTAAAAAGCACTCTAAAGTCATAATTCATCTCTGGACAGTGCAATGTTTCTCATTGCGGTGATCTCCAAATCCAAAATGGCCGCTTATTTGAACACAGATTACCTGTATCTGTTGGGATATATGTCCTAATTCAAAGTATTATTCTACAACTTTTTTTCAACAGTGCCGCTAGGGCGTGTTGTTAAAATTCCCTGTTAAATATTAGCTGATACCGCTAATGGTAGCGTACATTAGCATATAGGGACTACATTAGCATTTAACGATAGCTATGCTAGCATAGCATTAAACATGGAGCTGGTTTGCATTCCCAGAATTAGGTTCACCAAAGATACTGCCAAGCTAGTGACTATTTAGCTAGCAGATGGCAAAATCTCCTAATTATCATGTAAAATCATGTCGCTATCACACCACTGGTGTCACAGATTAATTAAAGATTGTATTGAAAGCTCTACAAATTAGCTTATTGATCAAAATACACCACTATAGTTTAAAAGCTTGTGTTTTATAAATTTTATTTTCAGCTATCCTTTGCTAGTGTATATTAATTTCCTGGAGACGCTCAGCTAATCCCTGTTCATTCTTTCTAATTAGATCCAGACCACTTGCGTATGACTGTGTAAGAATAAGGAAGGAAACCAATATGTATCTCAATTAGTCACTGTTGCAGCTCAGTTTGTGTCTTTGTAATAAAAATATGAATCTGCTTTACATATTGAAGCTATTAAAAGGTGTTGATGGGAAAGGAAACATAATAATCCTAGTGAATGTGGTGATGTAGAGCAACGTTCATCGACACATGTCTTGTGTTGCACCAGGACGTGCTGTATTTCACTGTGGCTTCTGAGGTTTCCTTTTCTGCGTGGAGGTTTTTCCCAACACTTGCCTTTGTATCACAGTTGATCCAACACATGCCTCTGTGTTGCTGTCATCTCCCACACAGGGCCATAGCGGTGCCCTTTATCTATCACGGCCGGCGTGATGCTTCTCCAACATGCCTTCCTGTTTTCATCATTCCACTGTCCAATTTCTTATTCCCACAGAGTTTTATTTTCATACCTCAAAAAGATACATTCCATTAAAAAAACAAAGAAAAAAAAAATCCCTGCCTGGCGTCTTGTGTGGTTTCTTTTTTTTTAATGGACCCCGGGGCTCAGTGGGGTCACTTTAACGACCCGTTTAAGAGTCTCCCGCCTCAGTCGGTCTCCAGCCTTTCAATCCTTTACAGCCGTTTCACCTCTCACCCCGTGTTTCCTGGTCTAAATGTAGCAAGAGAGTTGGGTTTCACTGCCAGTTGCTGCCGCTTAGACAAACTGCAAGTGAGTAAAGTGAACTGTGCGCGTGGCTGCGGCCGCTCTGTTGTCTAAGACCCTTCTAATTCATCATGATTTCATCCATGGTGAGCTTTGTGCTGCTACAGCAAATTGTTGCTGAAAATCAATATCTGGATTTCACTTTCATCTACTACACTTGTAGAAAATTGAAGAACCAACAGTAATGGGTGTTTACGTTGACCTCACACAGGTCAATTGATCTGTAGCGTAGAAATGAGACAGCACTGAATGCATGCAAAAGCAAGATATGAGCAAGTATAAAATAGTGGCTATGTTTTTTTTTTTTTAACGAAATGATAAAAAGGTTTCCAGATCTCTGATCCAGGTGACACAACTAACATTTTTACAGCCTGTAGCACGTCAAGGAAAATGTTTAGTAAAGATGCAGTCATGTTATATGAGTTAAAGAAATGTATACGCCAGTATCTCACTCTGGTTGCATGCAAAGTTTTTCTGAAAGGTAATCCCATTTTGTCGGCATATTTGTTATTCTTATCTGAATGCTTTCCTTTTGCTGAGATTCTGCATAAGTAAAGCTCTTCATGTACATTTTCAATAGCCCAGTGGTACGATACTGGGGGAAGTGTTGGCATAGTGGTTAGAGCAGTGCGCTTGTGCTCTGAGAAGCTTGCAAGTACCCGGTTTGATTCCTACAGCCTCCACTCTGGTAGCCTCGTGAGACCATCCTGATCTCGCGAGCCTTCAAGGTTTCACACGCAGATCAGTCTGGAGACTCTCCGTTAAAGAAAATTTGGAGCCGTTCACCAAACGAACGTCCAATCAGTGTTGGCTTTGAGGCGGGTTGAGGTGTGACACAACGAGAAGCGTGGTTATCGAGCAAGTTTTATTGGAATTACAGAGTATTTCTTTACTGAAAGAAGAGCAAAACACTGCTCTGGAGGCTTTTCTCAGAGGAAAAGATGTTTTTGCTCTTCTCCCGAATGGTTTCGGCAAGAGTTTGATCTATCAATTGGCTCCTCTTTGTCGTCGCTCTATTAGTACGTCATAT